AATGAATTCGCTGCAACTGTTAAATTAGTAACACAATTGTTAAATGAATCTGGTTTACCCATTGACTTTGCTTATCAGGTTGCAAAAGCTGATCACATGACCCCCGGGACACTGCAATCATCATAAATATGAGTCAGTTGCCAAGCATCTGAATTTTGACCAGGTGACCATGGGGACGCTGCCGTGGTCATAAGTGTGAAAAATGGTCATAAATCACCTTTTTTCAGTGCCATTGTAACTTTGAATGGCCATTAAGTAAACTGTTGTGATGTCGAGGACTATCTGTATATAGAGAAGTCCACACAGTTTTCTTGGCACTGATTTGCTTCTGCTTTTTTCCTAGGACTGAGAGAAAAGGAGTCACTTATCTGGCTTCTATGCCTAAAGTCTCCCTCTGGGACTTACGTTCATTAAAGGAGAATCTTAAAGTTGAAATGAGAGGGTCCTTGGTGCTCTCTGAGCTTGGTTGTTTTCTTGCAGATGGTTCATTACCCAAACTAGGTAACATCAGCAGTCCTAGTAAGGAATGGAATTTGTTTTCCTTATGCACAAAAGGCCTCTAAGGTTGCACAGAGTACTCTTTTTGTGAACAGACATAACTATGGTGATATATAACTACCTAGTGACATCAATTTTTATATTCTCTTTCATTATCATTGTTTTTTAAAGTTTCATAAGCTACCCAATGAACAATGTGTAAAATTTGGGGTGATTTTTACTGGGAAGAATGTAGTAATATGTATTAATTTTAGACAGAGCTCGTACACAATGTTGTTTTGGTTTCCTAAAATTCAAAGGTAGAAAGCAGTAGGAAAAAAAATGAAAGGCAAATTTGAACAGGTAAGCATACATTCCTTCATAGATCTTAGAAATTACTAACAGGATTGGTTGGCACCAATTTGGGGGAAAATTTCTACCATGCCAATTTTTTTTTTTTTTTTTGCAAGGGGAAGAAGGGGGGGAAATGGGATGGCACTGTATTTTTACTAGCCTCCAGTTTAACCCTTCCCTCTTCCCTTGATGGGGAGGGGAGGAGAAAGAGACAGGATATGCCCAAGAGCAGTTAGAAAGTCTGGGAGACTGACCAGTTGAATGGTGAGCATATGGAGAGAAAAGCATATCAAATTTATTGGCTGAAGGCATGGGAAAAGATACATTCATAGATTTCATGGAATATATAGTTTGATTAGTTATGGAAGGTGAATTTATCTGCTATTTTTTTTAACCTTCTCTTAAAATTTCTTTTAGCAGCTAAAGGGGAACAGATGGGTCTTATTAGAAAGGAAGCTTCCCTTCATTTGTATCACAAAAGCCACGTCAAACATCCCTCTGGCTATTTTTGTGTGTGTGGCAATTGTTCTCTTAGTTTTACTATTTAGTTACTTAAAATGAATATTTTAGTTCCGGATTAATTTTATCCCTTCCCTAAAAACAGCAAAGATTTTCTTTCTTTCTGTTTCTCTCTCTCTCTTTCTTTAAAAACAGCTTCTCTGTTGAAATCAAATGGGTTTTTTATGAGAGCGCAGAATCCAAAACAAATCATTGGTGGAGTTTAATGAGAGAAATGTGCAAATTAAAGACTATTGTGGCCGCCTCACTTTTATTTTTTCAATTTCAAAACTGAACTCATCAGAAGTTCATTCTTTGTCATTGATCATGTGTGACTGCACAATTCCAGCGATTCCTTGGCACACTATTTTTTTTTTTTTTGCACAAGAGACAACTGCAACTTTAAGTCAGCATTTTTGCACTGCACTTTGTCTCCCCACGTCTTGTCAGTGCCATACAAACCTCAAGAAATCAACCGTTTTAAGGTGACATGCTTACTTTAGCAGTAAATTGCCCATACTTTTGCATAGCCTCTGGCTGAAAGCCCTACTTAAAAAACGCTTAAAAGAAGTTAAAAATAAACTACTTACCAGCACCACTTTCTTCAAGCAGCGCCTGACATCCAGTCGGAAATTTGCTGAATCTTAAAAACAAATGTTCTTCAGCCCGACCTTGTTGCCCACCTTTGTCAGGAGTCACTGCCACAAAGCACTTCCTTTAAATGAAGTATCTGAAAAGCTTGCTTTCTCAAATACCATTTGCCGAAGTGGCTGCCTTGCATTTGCATCCCAGTTTCTTCCAGCAGCTTTTTTTGGCTCAGCTTTGCCAGAGGCATTTTTTGATTATTGTGTAATGTGTTTGAGCGTCTGCCTTGTGTCACGTGACGCAGGGAAGAAAACTCTCCACACATGTGGCTAAATACTTGGAGAAATCCCTTTTCCTCGTGTTCCAGGCAAAGGCTTCCAAGGATCAGGAGCTACTTGTCTTCAACATGTTACCTAATGAGGCTGAAACCTTGCTTCTCAGTCTTAGCAACTAAGATATGTGGACTTCAACTCCCAGAATTCTCTGGCTAGTCCACGTCTTGAAGTCTGTAAGGTGGAGGACCATTACCCATTGCTGGTCAGCAGGTAGCCTTAATCTAGTTCACAGGTATTTTAACTCTGTTGCTAACAATTTTGCCAAATTTCAACAGGTGCAGGCATGTATTTATTTTAAGATCAGTGATATACTATAGTGAAAAAATTGTGCATATGCTCAGGGTGACAAATACTGTATATATATATACTACTATATATACTACTAATCTTCCCAGTATGTTTTAGAATATAATAGAATTCTTTATTGGCCAAGTGTGATTGGACACACAAGGAATTTGTCTTGGTGCATAGACTCTCAGTGAACATAAAAGAAAACATGCCCTTTCATTACATCATCACCCAGCAAGGCTCAACCAAGCCTGGGACTCAGGACAGCCTACAGAGTTGCCCCTGCATGGCCCCATGGGAGTCTGACAACCAATCAGAATACAAGCTCAAATTCAAATCCCAACAGAGGATATAAAACCAGCATCAGCCCTTCCTTCTTTGGAGCTCCAAGTCATGTGGTCCTGTCCACCATTAAACCATCTTTCCAAACAGCCTCCATGTTTCCAGTGTCTTTTTCCCCACTTGGAACTGAAACCAGAAGGGTAATTCTTCCAACAGTATTTTTTAGTTGCCCTGTTTCCAAGCCTTAGCCCACTTTGTTCCAGTTCTGGCAAACGGTGCAATAATACAGCTATATTCTTTACTGAAACATGGTATGTTGTGTTGGCTCTTGCTTATGAAATCTGGGACAGTTTGTGCAGTATCCCAAGAGAGATCTTATAAAATGTTCTGACAGCAAAACAAAATGCTTATTAGCTTAGCCTATATTAGATTTTTATGAGGCAAGCCAGGCTTTAGCTGCTCTGTTTAGATTAGTATAATTTAGAGCCTTTAAAATGAAATGTTCACAGATGCAAAGCAGAACAGCATTACAATTTAGTTTAGGCTAAACCTGGGCTGATATTTAAAATCAACACTACTTCTTTTACAATTAATATGCCAGAACATAGTACAATATTTATATGGTAAATAAACTCGTGTGATTTGTATTAGGAAAATTACAGGTGGTGACATGCTGTTTTGGATATCAGCCTCCTATCACATCACTAGAGGAGGAAAAGTAGATGTAGACTGTGGGTAGGTTCTCCTGCTGTTAGCAATTACAATGCTTTCAGTATAAAATAAAAAAAAGGTATAAAAAGATTATATGGAAACACATGGGATGAGAGCTAAACTAGGAAAAAACCCCAAATATGACAGAAAATGAAAAACCTTTCTTGGATTGCACTGGATATGTAAAAATTGGACAGATCTAGAAAATAGCTTTTCTAGAATCCAGTTTTAAAGTGCAAATCCACTTTACCATGAAGGTTACCATGCAAAATTATTCTTCTTCCCATTTTTCCCTTGTATAAAGCTTGGTAAAGTATTGCAAGTCTTAGTGGTGTGCTGGCTTTCTTGCAACTAAAACATTTCTACTATTTTGATGAGGTTTTCAATGTCAGTTCAGAACAGATGAAAAAACACTTAAAATTTGTGAAATACGTTTTCCTTTTGTAGATAAAATCTTAAAACAAGATAGTATGAGTTTGCAGATTTTAAAATTAAGCTAGTTTTCCTAAGAGTCTAATTTTCTAGTAAGATCTAGCACAACACCGTAAAACAATACTTGCACCTAAACATATAATTAGTATAAAAGAATACGGGAATTACTATTAAAACTGAAAATAATAAATAAAAAGCTTGTGTAAAATATATATACATTTTTGGAATAATACATTTCAAAATGGGATCTCTTTTTGTCTATGCTACAATTACAATGTCAAAATATTCTGTATTATTTTCTGCATGTTCTTTTTGAGGGTCCAATTGCATTCTTATCTGTATATAAGGTATATAATTACTTTCCAGCAATGCCCTTCTATTACAACCAGAGGAATAACTTTGGCCAAAAGGACAGGCATATAAAAACAGCAATAATAAGCACCTGTAGGAATGTCCCACTATCCAGGGAGAAATTATTAATCTAATGTATATTGCCAAGTTGATTCTATTCATTTAGAATTACTTCAAAATGACTTTTTTCTTCTACAATTAAATACTAAAGCCAGGAAGTTTGGCAATTACACAACTAATATAAATATCCATTATATTTCTCAATTGAGCATTATGTATTAATGTTGGACCGTACTCTGCATTTCACTAACTTCTGACTTGCCATGTCAGCGTGGCAAAATCTCCTTCCAATTTGAGCTCCTCAGTTTGACTCATTAGTCAAATCCAGGCGTATGTTACATTAATGAACTAGCCTTTGTTACTACAAGACTCAACATTTTTGTTAAAAAATCAGGATTAAAGCATTTCCATATTGATAAGAATTTGAACCCTTAAAATTCCAGGCCAATATGATCAAGTTACAGGCAGATTGATATAAAACAAAAGGCCCAGGAGTCCACAGATGTCTATAGGAAAATAGAATCTTTAAATGTGACAGAATAATGTACCCTATTAGAAATGAAATATTATAACCAGAATTTAATAGCTGGAATGCTAAAATAAATTCTGCTGAGAAACTGAAAACCATTTCAGAATTGTGCAATTCTATTAAGATTCAGATAGTTTTCCTCAAAGTCAGCTTTAATCTATTCAGGGAAGTAAACAATTATGTATTTTTGAAACAGACTATCAATTGTGTGCAGTTTGATGTTTGCAATATCTACTGACTCTTCTCATCAATATAGTTTTTTTTAAAATTCAGAAATTCATTCAGCATTATAATTTACAAGGACTTGAGCAAACCTGCTCAACAAAAAACTTTTTTTCTGCTCAGAGAGCTCTAGGCTGGGTGGGCCATATGTAAGTATGATGCGAAAGAACAGGACATCAGTTGACAACTTGCTTAGGGAAAGTGACACACATACAACATTGATCTGTTTAGACACCTATATACAAGTCCTATGAGCTTGCAAGTCTTTTGCCCAAAACTACTGTCCCAGAAAAGAGGCCATGGGGTCATCTGGTCGCTGGCGCTTCATTTGGTAAGCTTCCATTTCCTCCTCTGTTGGTTCTCGGTTTTCGTACATGCTATTATATGGTCTCTTTCTCTCATCTAATTGCATGATTTCTTTCACATGAAGGAGACGGGCTTCTTCTGCATTCAGTGCCTGAAAATACAAATTCACCGCTGTGTTACAGTTGTCCCTGGAACTACAACTATCTAGTAAGCAAATGGTAATGCTCAATACAATTCAAAGAGTAAAGTTGCTAAGATACTCAGGAAAAGTAATGAGAAAGCTGGAAAAAGCTGCAATCCGTAATAGACCACATAGGTCACGTAATAAGTCAGATTTGATCCAAAGGATTCCAGCAAATGGCCAATATAAAATATTCCAAGAGTTACAGTATATATCAGAACAGAATAAAAAATCATCTCACTATGAACACAGAAGCGAAACATGTTGTGGTCCACCAGCGGCCTGCAGAGCTGGCAGCAGAGTCGGACAGTGGGGAGGAACATGGGCCAGTTCCTGGAATCTGGGGAGGGTTCAGACGAGGGATCTGCGTCCGACAGATGGGGCCAGGGCCATCTGAGAGTTATGTGCTGACTCCAGAGCCTCCAGAATCTGACATCAGCAAAGCAGAGGAACAAGGGGAGCCTGTTCCCAGTGTGCACTTGCACAGAGTTGCCAGAAGGCAAGAACAGTAAAGACAAAAGGGGCGACTCAGGAGTAAGGTTTGGAGATGATTGGCCCGTCCCATAAGACATAAAGGAGGAGCAAAGGGACATGAGCCTTTGCAGGAAGCAACTTTGTTAGTTCTGGTTGATTTAAAATCTGAAGCTCCGTGTTGACTTTGTGCTGTTTGGCCTTGTACAGCTAATTGGCAATTTAGTCATTGTCAGCATTTCAAGGGAGATAAAGGTGGGTGCTTATCAGCCTTATTCTGAAAGACTGTGGCAGACTTCTGTTGGACTATTCATAAACTGTTTGGGACTCATTATGGGCTGTGAATGCATATAATTCACAGCCATTGAAATATTTAAAAAAAAGATTTTTGGAAACAGCATGTGATTGTTACTGTCTCAGGAAGCCTTGGTCAGAACACATTATGTTTGTCTAAGCTAATAGTTGTATAAATGATATCACACTGCAAATTTATTCAAATTTCACAGACTACTCATAATTAATGCTAAATATAAGAGCTTCAGCATCCACTGACTTTTTCAATAATCAACAGGAACTTGTTCCCATATAGTTGTGAGAATACGGTTTACTATTCTATAGACTGAGACTATAATTTCACAGTGGTATCACAAGACAGGGCAGGAATCTCCATTTCTCCCTTAAATCCAAGAAAACCAGAATTTGGTTTATTATGCCAATGTGTTCTGATTGGAAAACACAATTTCTCTCCTTTAAATTCAATATGGGTTTGTGAAAATAAATATGAATTTATGAAGATCTGTTGCTGGAAAGATAGCTGATAGGAAAGAAGTTCCAGCATGGGAATTGAGAGAAATAAGCCTCTATTCTCATGTTGGAACTTGGTATGCCAGATAGTCTGTACACTTTAAGAGGATTTGAGGATAATACAGGTGACAGTGGTTTTATGTATACCTTTTTCAGTTTTTCTTGTTTCTTTCTGTCTTCTCCCTCACTATCAGAACTTGTACTCTTCTTATGCTTTTTCTTTTTCTTCTTCTTTTCTTCCTTTTGTTTTTGTTGGTGTATCTGTAGCAATGGGAAAGAGGATAAAATAAAATGCAGACAGACATGAATGAGGGTATTCTAAGCTACAGGCAATAGGTACTTAAGGGAGTGTCACATTAAATTTCTTCTTAGGGGCAGATGCATGTATCTATATCACTTACCTGGCAGAATCCCATCCTACCTGAAAGTTTCAACAAGTGCAACAGATGCGCAACTGCCATTGTACAATAGTTGCATTATAACTGCCTAGAAAGTGCTGTAATGTTTTTAGGACTTCATATAAAACAGAAACAAGTAAACAGAAGGCCATCCACACTTCACCACCTACTTTTCTATTGCCTCTAAGATCATGCAACTGAATAATAGCAGAAAGTCTTTTTTCTTTTCTTTTTACTTTTTGTAAATTAAGCAGCAAAATGTGTGGCACCCCTTCAAGGCTTAAATGTGCTTATTGCACTTAATCTTCCTCTAAAACAGGAACAAGCTGTCACATCCTGTGACATAATTATACCACTGCTATCCCTTCTAGGGCCTTTCTGGCTACTGGAAAAAAAATTATAAATACACTCTGTATACCAAAATAGCTTATCTTGTCCTTGACTGGCAATAGGCTCATTAGAAAGCCACCTACTAGAAAGAAAACGAAACAATAAAGAAGCCCACCTCCATTAGAGTTTTGGGTTTGGTTAACTGCTCATCCTCATGCACCTCACTTGGCAATTCTTCACTGGCATTCTATGTGTAGGAAAAAGAAAAAATCCAATTTCACAAAGAGAGTTAAGCATTAGGTTTGTTTTTAAAATGTCAATTTATAGTTCCACTAAATAAACTATATCTTACAGCAATTTCCTTTCCAGCTTCTCCTGTACAATACGAAAACTTGACAAATGAGTAGCAGCATTTATATCCCCATCTTCCTTCTTTCCAGTAAGAACCCCAAATACACTGCAAGGAAAACAAAGGTATTAACTGCTTATGATAATGGCTTGCAACCTCATGTATTACATTTCATAATGGTTTTTTTGATTCCCAAAGAGTTTGTGATAAATTTAAGAAATACTCTATTCCTGAAGAATGTACTATTTAAATTTCGGTACAGGTTTGGTACAACCTTCTACAGCAGAAAAATGAATAGAAACAATGAAAAATGCACTAATCAGTTGAGTTGCGTGTAATGTGATAATTCCTTTGTATCAAGAACCAAGTCCCTATTCTATTATATTGGTTTATTTGAAGGATTTAGCATCTGCTTAATTCTACTAATGAAATCAATGGAATCTAAAAAGTATGGGACAGATTTCACTTGCAATATTTTTCACATTTTATCCCCATTACCTTCCCAGACAGTAGGTTCAAACGGCTAAATTTAAGTAAGTAAGCATTTCTATAATTACGATGAACTTTCTCCTTGCATTTAACCTTACCCAGTAAATATTAAATCCTTTCCTCATAGAATATTTTGAAATGAATAAGGAAAACAAACTGGTGGCTCAATGAAAGGTCAATTCTCTGTTGAAAGAAACAAGCTTCATCTAGAGCAGGGGTCCCCAACCACCGGTCCGCGGACCGGTACCGGTCCGTGGAACAAGTCCTACCGGGCCGCTGGCTTGCTGGGCGCTGCCATCTTTTTTTGATGAAAAAGTGCTTCCGGTGAGCTTTTCCGGGTAGAAAGCTCACCGGAAGCACTTTTTCATCAAAAAAAGATGGCGGCGCCCAGCTAATGCCGGTACCGGGCCGCGCCATAAAAAAGGTTGGGGATCACTGATCTAGAGTACCTTCAGTTTCAATTCTGCTAAAATCTCCTTCATGGCAAATGTTTCACAATACTCTCTTATGAACCTATTCATGATTAACATCAAACACTTTGTGATGACTAACACCATAGTGTCAGGAATGACTAACAAAAATTAGAGTCTTAATGTTTAGATATCAAATTGATTTCTCATTACAAACTGATTTCTCGTGTTTTAAATCTGATTCTGAGTAAAGTTAGTAACCAGCCCTAATTCCATCTGTTGGCTTCATCTTAATTGTGCCATGAAAAGTCCCTAATGGATCACATACCAGTTAGCTAACTTTAACAGAACAAGAATAAGACAAGAATGTGGAGGAAAAGGAAAAGCACTGTACAGTATACATTTCCCTAAAGAAATAAATTCGAAAAAGTAATTTAAAAAACACATAGAAGCCAAAAATTACATTGTCTTCTAGATTTTTGCAATTGTAAATCTCAGAATAATTCTAAGCAGAGAATCCTTACTAACTGTTCATTACTTGAAAAGATTTATTTCTAATAGAAAGAGGGTCTTAAAAAATTTTTTTTAGGTCAGACCAGGCAATTTTTAAATCAATGACAGCAATTCACCGAGAATGACCTATTGAGGAGAGCACATGATAGGGCAGAGATGAAGTTATCAGCACAGCAAGTCCTTGACATATGACCATTCTTTCAGTGACTGATGTCATGATGGTGCTGAAAGAGTGGTTAGGATCAATCCTCAAGAGTTCTAGCCATCCCAGTACGCTACAGTTACGTGATTGTGATCTGAATGCTTGGCAAATGGTTCACATTTACATTCAGTTGTAGCAGCCATGATCAAATGATTGCCACTTGTGACCTTCCCTGCTGGTTTCCCCATAGTCAATGGGGAAGCTGGCAGAGAAGGTTGGAAGTCATCAGGATAAGTCTCCCCAGCCTATACAGCCTCCTGCAGTCCCTCTGTGCTCATATGCCAGACCTATGCACCCTATGTGCCTACCAATTCTCATGTCTCCTCATGCGACCCCTTCTCAACCTGTACTCTTGCACCCACGCCCAGATCCACACAACTCTTATGCACCCCTGTACATGCTTGTGTACCCCCTAGTGTCCCCTTTGCTCCCATCCAGCAGCAGCTACTTACTTCCCTGCAACCTGGAACTTGCCAGCTGCTGTGGTTTCCCCAATGACTTTGGTTGTGGGAAGCCAGCAAGAAGTTACCTTACCTTGCCTCATGACTGTGGGATTTGGTTAACAGGGGCAATTGGGATTGCAGGGATTGCCATAGCTAAGTAATGCAGAGAGGCTAGTTACACTTATTCTATGCAGAAAGTATTTGAAATTAGTTCAAGAACCACAAATTGCCAAATCCTGTTTGAGGTGCTTACTGTGTGGTTGTTGATCATTACATCCTCCTCATACTTGGAGCGAGCAACAGCCTTCTCTTGACCTTTAATAACTGTTCCATGTCTAGAATACTCCACATAGTCTTCTGTCTGAGCAAGTAACAGTTCAGATGGTGGGGCATCCAGATGTTCTTCGCCTCCATACTACAAGGAAAAAAAAAAAAGAGAAGTTTGAAAGATTCATTTGCAGGACTCCCGTTCCCTGAAGATATCTGCCCATTCACCAGACTGGATAGGGTAGAGAGGCTCCAGATTCTTTCCCTTAAATGTTGCTATCCAGCAGGTCCTATGAAATGTGTCTCTTTCATAGTGGCCCCTGCCTTGTGGAATAGCCTTCCCCCAGGATCCGTCAGGACCTCATCCTTTCTGGACAACTGTAAAGTGCTGATTCTTCCCCCTAAAGATTGGAACAGGGTGATGTTGTGGCCCGAGGATGACTTTTTTGGATGCACTATGAAGGATGGTTCAGATGCCAGGTTTTGGTTTTACTGTTTTTGATCACTTTTGTCTTTTATTGTAAGCTACCCAGAGTTGTGTTATGAGTGGCCATACAAAATTTTCAAATAAAAAAATTATTTTTATAGCATTTTACACCATGTAAAATGCATTTTGATTTTTCTATGAGATTCCCATAGTGGAGAGAGTACTGATAAAGTTATGTCACTTAGTGACTGTTCAAAGTTACAACGGACTCCCCACAAACATCCTTACAACCTCCTGCTGAAGTTCAGCACCCTTCCGCCTCCCCCCGCCCCCAGGTTTAAAAAACTGTCTCAAAATCATTTGGGCATTTAAGATACCATACAAAAAATATCAAGTCAAGAGTTACGTAAGTTTATTCTGACTTTGAAGTTGGCTATATTTATAATTATGTTTTAGCTTTCTCTAGTGATATATGCAAGATTATTTCCATTTTTAACTGACTTATTCTTTAATAATATCGATCTGGTGAAGTCTCCCATAATTTGACATGTAATTACTTTACTTTATAAAGTTTTAATTAATTTAGAAATGGGAAATGATACCATAGTGCTGCAAACATTTCTACCCCCCCCCCCGAGTAAAATGGTAACATATAGTAAAAAGGGAATTCTGAAGGAGACTGAACGCCTGTTAATTCACCTTCTCTAAGATGCTTTCTTTCTGCTGATGTTTAAAGTCTTCTTTTTTCACTTTGAAAGATTTGTACAAGAGTTCAAGTTTTGTAGGATCTGCTTGAAGATGAACTTCAGAGCCTTTTTCATAGGCCTCCCAGGCGAATACTTTGAAAATAAAAAAAAAGAAAAATAGTTTCAATTTTTCTAAAATACATGAACATTAAACTATTATTTTATTTAATAAGCACTCAGAAAATATTGTGAACCAATTATCTGTGAAGGAAACCCTAGAAAAGAGGATTCTTACTCTTTCCCATCTTCTGGGATGCTTCAAGAGCAAAGGGAGGAGAGAGAGAACCAGTGTGAAGGATAAATACTTATCCCTGCCAGGTCCATTTTTAAACCAAGGACCTGAGAGAGGTAAAGGGGACTAGAGGACATTTTACTTGGTACCATCCCATCCATCCCTCTGTCTCTTGATATCATAAATTAACCCATTTCCAGCTCCAATCTGCTAAGAATTCATAAAGGTACAGATAAAAGGTAACCATGCCTGACTCTAAGGGGTGGTGCTCATGTCCATTTCTTAGTTGAGGGAGCCAGCGTTGTCCAAAGACATTTTTGGTGGTCAGGTGATCAGCATGGCTACACACCAAAGGTACACAGAATGCTGTTATCCTTCCACCAAAGTGGTACCTATTTATCTACTTGCATTTGCATGCTTTCGAACTGCTAGGTGGGCAGAAACTGGGGCAAGTAACGGGAGCTCACCTTGTCTCATGGCACTTGGGTCTCAAACCCAGGCTGTCAGCTTTCCATCTGACAAGCTCAATGTCTTTAATCATTGAGCCATCTCCCATACCCCAAAGAAATCATAAAAGTGGACATTTTCTTTCTGTAGTCAGTGGCCCTTTGATAGTATAAGGAAAGCATACACCTATAGTCCTTGAAGAGCCTGGAAAGATATATACATACACCTTTCAAAAAAATCAATGGTTTTAATATACTTTGGGAGAGGGCACTGTTAGAGGACTCTGCCTCTAGTATTCCCCCTCTACCTTTGCTTGGGAAATCTAGTACCAAATATGACATTCCTTGCAGTAAACTGGGCATCTATGAAGGAGATGAGCAGTTATGAAGTGTGATATATAAATATTCTTCCTTAAAGAATAATCTTATCTAAAACAAATTTAACTTAAAAACAAGTGAGCAGCAGTCTTTTATCTTTTATACACCTTAGATTTAGTACTTACACTGAGTTTGGGCCATGGAAATGGTGGCCCCCGTGTAACGTACAAAGTTATCTCCTGCATAACTGACTCTGTAAGAAAAATAGTTTATTCTGTAAGTATTTAGCTTGTAGTTCTATTTTGCACAGAAGCAAAGCAAATGCAAGGCCATTTTGATTAAAAAGTATAAATTTAATAAGACCCATTCTTTGTTTATTAATGTGATTCTGGGATTTGTTATTGCTTCTCCTATAGCATTTTGATTACAGCAGCCAATCTTTTTGGTCTTAAAATGTCATTTTAAATTACTTTGTTAGTAATTTAGATCAACGTATTGACAGAGTAATTTGTAATTTCTCTGTCATTAAAATGCACTATGAGAAACAATCTCCAAATAAAGTCTGGGCAAGAAAAAAGGATATATGTTCTTCAGAAGCAAAACATCCACTATAAGGGATTAAAAAACTTTTTCCTATATGGCATGGTTATTCATGGAGAGTTAAAAGCTTTCTAAAGATAATTTTACAGAAACCTGAGGTACTTATTTTACAGCAGAGTTAAGCTGTAGGCACCTAATATTCATCTGTGTTCACCACCAACTCTCCCAAGTTTTCCAAGATCTATGAGCATTCCAAACAACCTGCTTTGAGGAAAGAGCACAATGACACACTTCTCTATTTTTTTTTTAAAAAACTTTCTTCAAACTGAAAATCAAGACCTTCCTATGTATCAATTCTAGGGCAGTATATAAGACCATGTATTTGCTGAAGCAATTTGAAGCTAACTTACTCATCTGGATTCTTTCCTGCATTAGCATAAGGATTCTCCCTCATTGCTCTGGTTTTAGGATCATAGTAGGCAGAATTGGGGTCTAGATTCCGTAGATACTAAAGAGCAAGAACATAAAAATATCAACTTGAAGTTCTAATACAGCTAATAACACTATCAATTTAATGTAGCTATTCCAAGATCATCATGTAGAAATACCAATAAAATCAGATAATCAATAATGTGAATTCGACCAAGCCAAAGTTAGGATACATTACAGCTATCACCCATCACTATATCCACCATGTTCTCTTTTATCCCTATAAGGAAGGAATGCCATTCTGCAGAAAGGGAGGATAGTTGAAATTCTTTATCTTGGATTATTTTGATCATTTTACACAGTACTTAACGATTTACACTGTATTTACACTATTACGTTGCATATGCTGAATTCACACAGTATCCTAAGCCATAGAGTAGCATACTTAGTTACTACCCGATGATACTACTGATATGAAAGGAAGATAAGCAGAAGAAAGTTACACCTTTTAGAATAATATGGAGAATATTAGCTTCAAAATGACAGTTCTTGATATTGTCTAGCTTACTTTGGCAATATCCTCTCGAATACGCAAGTTTCGGACTGTAATGCGTCTTTTGGAGTCAAAATTCTGTCCAGGCATATCAATGTCATCTGCATATTTGTCTTCGTCTTCATCTTCACTGTTATGATCTCTTTCCTAAAAAGAGAGAGCATGGCATTAACTGGTGTGATTTCACTTGCATCAATAACAAAACACATATACCAAATTTTAGGTGAATTTTTTTTTGAAAAAATACTAATATCAATATAATTCTATTAGTGAAGGACTGAATTAGTTGGCTAAGTGGTTTGCAAATAAAAACACAATTATATAAAGCTTGAGGTTGTTAGGTATTTAAGTTCTGCTTTGGGCCAAGTTTCATTATATCACTTGCCTGAAAAACTGCAGCTGTAATGAGAGATGAATCTATAGATCTCCATATAAGAAGGCAAATGATAAAGGCTACTTAAAAATCAAGGAATGCCACACAGAATATCAAATTATTTATGTGAAAGACATATTTACAACAAAAAAATACCCTTAATTTTTGTTATTTATTAAAAAAAACCCTACTCTCACCGTTTGTAAATTTAGTTCCTCTTCTCCCCATCGATGACGTGAAGAATTCTAGAGAAAACAACAAAAACAGTCTCTGAAAATCAGCACAGAGTAACTTTACAGTGAAGTAATCAAAATAATTGATAAATTGTTTGAGAAAAGGCATTCTGAAAAGAAAGGCCTCTATTTGGTCTCAAGCTAAACCAAGGCAGATCATTAGCTTCAAGCCATCTTATTTATTTATCTAAGATTCTTTCCTCAAAATAGCTTTAGGGATATCGTTCTTTCATCCTTTCTTAGTGACAAAACAAATAACTAAAATATTTCTGAAATTTCATACCCATTCTTAAAATCAAGAACTGAGACATTAATACTTTTATAACAATATCGAACACTGTCAGGGTTGGTAAACTGCAATTTTAATGCAACAGTTTAAATTAAATTGGCTTCTAATTTAGATTTTAAAAGTAGTTGTTAAAAGGAGATAAGGAATCAAAATGGATCATAGCGCTTATGATGGCATCTTGTGTTGGTTATGTCAAGACCCAGTACGAAACAGGACTTCATCATTACTAAAAAGAACACATGCTCATATAGAGAGAAATGAGTCCATTCTGTGTGCAATGTTCAAAAGATCAGGTAGCCAGTGATGCAAAAAAAAAAAACCACCCCTCTATTGCCAAACTTGGGGAGTTGCTGCAAACCAGAATAAGAAATGTTTAGCTACCCAAATAAATAATTAGGTTTCCAGGCAAAGGAAAATAAATTCCAAACAATGAAAATATCTTTTCATTCTGAAAAGCTTTGATTCCTCACATTCAGAAGAATTATATAAAGTTTACACTGCCATCTAGTGAAGCAATTAAGAATTTACAATTAAGAAAGCTCTACCTTACAGATTTTAGCCATATTCAGTGCTTTTGTGTCAACATCCTATACTAGCTGGAAAAATATATTTAAAAAGGAGGAAAACACTACCTTATCCTTCAGATTTAGATGTTTTTCCCCCTGACTTACCACTTGCTCTGTCAGTTTTCCTGAAGCCAGTTCTTCCTGCAGTTTCTGAGCTTTGAGTGTGCGTTTAGCCTGTACATTAAAGGAAAAGCAGGAGTAGTATTTCTCTTAAAAGATTTCCTAACCACTCCATACTTAGCATGAAATAATAAATGTTCTTCTTAGTTTTGATGAGCAAGGAATTATAATTTAGAGTCAACAATACAGAAGTGTAAGCAATTTACAGACAGAAAATTGACTTACATCTAACTCAGCTTTCTTCCTCACACCTAGTAAGTTTGCTAAACTTTGTCTGAAATCTGTTCCTTCATTTCTTCAATGACTTTCTCAAGACTTAAGAATGTTTAGCCTCTTTGGTGTCTTAATTCAGAGGCAGTCAATGAAAAAATATCAATGGAATCAAAAGTAAAGGCAGCCAAAGATTGACCATGGTTCCCTTCAAACTATGAATGGTGTGTGTAAGAGGATACACCTTTCTCTTGTCTCCTTTTTTAGTAATGGAGATACTTTGTGGTTAATTGTTGACTAACCAAGTTTTGGGAAAGGGGGAAATCTTAATTATTAGAGAAAGGTGCTGCTTGGTGAAAGAGTACTTAGTTTACAACGCAAACATGAACAGGTATAGTATATCCCCAGGGTCTCCAAGCACGGAAGAGGAAAAATCTTATCTGAACACTTGGAAAACTAAAGTAAATGAACTAATAACAGCTTATGACACTATTTTATAAACACATCTATATGTTTATATTAGCACAAGAATCAGTTCTGGATAATATGTTATTTATTTTTATACCAACATGACAAAAGATAGGGTTGATGTTATACCCAAAGTGGGGTAAAAAACAATTTACTTACTAGATCAACTTTCGAATATTCTTCTACAATCTTCATATGCTCCTCTGGGTTATAACCATTCCAACGGTCTCTTTTCCCATCATAGTCAAACATCAATTGAGGCTGCATGTGCTCATCTGGTGCAATGTTAGTTCCTGTAAATTTTGCTCCAACTTTTCTAGGTCTCTGCAGGGAACAATATGGAATGCAATCTTTGTTTCTCAGCAAGACAACTGCCTACAATTATTCCTGTTTCTTAACAGACATGAGGGAAACATAGTACTGATGTTTTTTCTACTTTTTCCTTCCAGCAGACTCTTCCTTAGTAGCATTAAGTTTTTTCCAGATGTAATGCAGCTACTATATTTATGTGGCTGAACTACAGCTCCACTGTTAACACTGAAACCAAGGACCATGAGGGACAAATGAACATAACTCCTTACAGAAAAAGTAACTGCTTTGATTTCTTTTAAATGAAAACACTACTAAAATGTTGTAAATAAAGAAACAAACAGGAGCTTCAAAGACCTAAAATTTGGAATGATAAACTTAAAATCCTATTGGTCCATCCATTGTGGCCTGGACCACCATATCCCATGATAACCTCACTGCAATAGATGTGTAAGAATATGCCTTATTCTCTGTCATGGGGTGGAAACTTGAATTTTCTGACATCAAAAGTTTTTCCTGGTTCTTTGTGATTGAAATAGGGGAAAGGCAGTTTAACAATTGCAAATAGCCTTAATTTAGCTATATTTAACAACATACTTGATTCTCTTGCTACTTTACCAAATTGTTACTTTTGGGAAAAGTGGTTCCTGTTTGTCATCTGATTAACATCTTCCTCATACAGGCAGTCCTTGCTTAACGACCATTTGTTCAGACCATTCAAAATTACACCGGCATTGAACAAATGGGATTTACGCCTGGCCCATAAAGTTACACCTGTTGTAAGTGCCTCCACCTTCACATGATCAAAATTTAGGCATTTGGCAGTCCACTTACAACTACAGGGAAACTACAACTCCATCCACCTTGCTATCTCCCCAATCTCTCTGTCCTTTCTGCTACCCTGCACAGTGGCATTCCTCGCCAGCTGTGCTGGGGCTGAAGTAGAGGCCTGGAGCTTTTAGCAGTATCAGTCGACTGCTGCCCCCAAGCCTCTACTTCAGGCCTGGCTTCTTCTGCAAAGCCCCTGCCACTCCAAGCTAACTTTCACCACTTTTTTCCTTCCACTGCTGAGGATGCATGACTCAGGCAGAGGCAGCTCAGGTTTCAAAAGGCAAGCTTGAGATGTCTCTGCCCATATGGAGAACAAACAACAGGGAAGTCAAACTCACATCTTCACGACTACGATGTCACTGGACTTACTGGGACTTTCCCCCCTTCCGCTAAACTAGGCATGGGCATGGCTAGTGCATGATGCAACCAGCCAGTGGGCCGGGAGTTTGACAGCTTTGACATATAATGAAGAGTTAAGAAGAGGCAATGCAGTGGGAGGGGGAAAGGCCTCGTTTGCTGAGAACTACAGTAACTCATGTTTCAAAATGCACATGATGAGAAAAAAAAAGAAAAAAAAATGCCACTGGAATTCTCCCTTGTGGTCCAGCAAAAAAGGCCTTCTGTTCTTATGTTCCATGCAACTCTTGAGTTCCATAGAACTCAATTCTATTAGATACAAATTTTTAAAATCCACAGAGACTACAAAATTTTACCTGAGACATAGGGTCATATTGCTTTTATGGAATGTTATTTACCTCTAGGCAATCTTTCTTCTTATGAGTCAATGCACCACAGTTCTCACAAGCACCTTTACGGTATTTGGTTGCAACAGCATTCTAAAGACAAAAACAAATAACTCATTTGTAGCAATAGAATATTTAGTTTGTCCTCTCCTATATGAGAATATAGAATATGGTAGCCCATTCTAACTTTACAAAGAAATTATCTAATTATATAAATCACTCTGAAATGCTAATTGCAGGGAATTTTAGCCAGACATAGCTAACAAACTATGCCCCTTCACATTTGAGTATAAATTCACCATCACTGAATTTGACTTTTCAAACACCAGTCATAATAAAAAAGCCAAACAAGTTAGCTAACATTTATGAATAATCTTGCACAACAGCATCAGTTTTACATATAGCTGCCTACCTCTTTAACTCCTCGCTTATACCATTCTCCTAGTAATGTAAATTCTTCTTGTTTCTCTGGTTGAGGTCTCTGATGTTTCAGTGTAGGCCTTTTTGAAGGATCTATATACCATGGTACTGAGGAAATATACTGGGGAATATGAGGATTGATGTCTCTGTAATAAGTAGTGTTACAATTAGATGAGAATTTAGGCTCCAGTCATTAAGTAGGAATCACTGAACGCGGCACTTAATTTTCCAATTTTTTAAAAAAATTCAATTTCCATCATACCATATTTTTAAGATCTTAACTGGAACTTTATCTGTATGATATGGGAGAGCGAGCAAGATTTTCACAGATGCTCATGTGGCTCAACAATACACCTCATACATAACATATATTCACCTATATTATATAATACATTCACCTATATAATCACTATGTACGTTTCTGTACATAGATTCTGTCTCTGATTGTCTTTCCTGTTCTTTACCCCCCAGTGACTGGCAAAGAAAGCAATGGAGCATTCTGGTGAAGACTAAGATTCTCTATGCCAGGGTTGTCAAACTCAAGGCTCAGGTCTGGCCTGCGGAGTGCTTAAATCTGGCTTGCACGGTCGGCCTGGAAATAGCAAAGAATTGGCCTGTGGTGCTTCTGGCAGCCAAAATGGGGCTGCCAGCAGGGGGGTGCTGTGCGAGGCTCCTCCGCATCCTGTTTTGGCTGGCAGGGTGCTGCAGGAGGCCGTCCAGACCAAAAATGAGGTATAGGGAGGCTATGTGCCCCTCCGTGTCATTTTGGCCAGCAGGGTGCTGTCTCCCCCCCCCCTAGTTTTGTTATATTATGCTAAAAAAGTTAAAGAAAGTTGTATTGGGATTGCAAACAATACTTACTTTCCTTCTTCATCGACTTCAGCTGGTGCATTTCCCAGTTTTCGTTGTTCTTCCAATTCCTTCTTCTTTCTCCAATCTTCTCTTGTCATCTTCTTGGGTTCTTCCAAGCCATTTGATCCTCCAGGAGGATTAGCAGCTATAGTTTCCATGTTCCCAGATTCTATTCTATGGCCTATTAACAAATACATGTTTGTATTTGTTAATAGGTTTTCAAATCTATTTTAATAAATGCTAAAAAAGGTTTTCAAACTATTTTAAAAGTTTTAAGTTTTCAAACTATTTTAATAAATGCTAAAAAATCATGACCATTTTTGATGAATTAATCTAGTCTAGCCTGAAAAGCAAATTCTCTCCCAAGGATACCAAGATGTGGATGAGTATGGAAGACCAGTTTTTTTTCTGAGAGCAATCCATGGATCAAGAGCCAGCATAAACAGAGCTTTCATGCTATTTTTAATTGTGAGAGCTAATCCATCACTAAAATACTTCTGAGTTTTATTATAACTTTATACCAATTTTATAAGTTCAATGAAGACTTTTATATTTTATTGTCATTTGTATTATTTAAAAATATCTTGCATTTTTCTTTGCAATTTAAGTGCCTTTTGTAGATATTACAAACTTTTTTTTTACAAACTTACATATAATGGAAATATGAACTTTAATGGTATGGATTTTGGCATCATTTGTACAGGCATTCTCAACATATGACAGATCATAAAAATGGAACTTACAGCCCAAATTCAAAGTTCCAATGACCCCCATGTCCAGTCACATGACCACATTTTGGGTATTAGCAACCAGTTTGCATTTATGGCTGTTTGCAGCACCCTGCAATCATGTGACTGAAACTAATGTTTATTTCAATTTCTGGCAAAAAAACACTCTATAGCTACCAATAGGTTTACTTAATGACCTGATAGAGCAGTCCGCTTGTTTTACAAATGCAGTTTGGTTTGTTTTACAACTGCCACAAAACAGATCATAAAATTGGGTATGGCATGTTGTAACCTGCTTTACGACCATTACAACCTATGTCCAAAATGATGGGCTCAATTGCAAGTCAAAGACTACCTGCGCACTGGTTATACCCAATCATATATCTCTACCCATGCTAGGTAGGTTATACTGTTCGGTCAGCATTGGGAGGTTCTATGGGCATGGTTGGGGAGAAATTGGCTGCAAGTCAACTCTACAAAGACACAATGTTTGTGGGTCATTGTCCCTTCATTGTATGGACAAGGAAACCCTCCCCTCCAGACAGAACTATTGTGCAATTTGGGGATCCTTCACTGCAGAATGGGTGCCCAGTGCTTCCCCCAAGTTATAGTGCGACTGTTGCCGTTTGAACTGTACTGGCTCCCAGTTGCTTTACAGGTGCTGCTTCTCACCTTTAAAGAAATACATGGCATAGGATCAGTTACTTATGGGACTGCCTCTCTCCAAGAATATCTGCCATTCCATTATCTGACCTGGGTGAGTTCCAGTTCCCTTCCTTTGAAGGCTGCCATCTTTTGGGGCTTTGAAGAAGCACCTTCTCTATAGCTGGTCCTGACCTTTGGAAGGCTGTGAAGACCACCTGGCTGGCTCTTACCCCAAATACTGGGCTTGAGTCAGGAAACTAATGGTGTGGTTGGTCTGGCATCTGATGGGAAGGGTTGTTCTGTTGTTACTACTCTGGTTTTTGTTGGCTGTTGTGAACAGCCTAGGATCAGTATGCCAGCCAGCCATATAAATTCTAAAATATACAGTACATACGGTGTAAAATATCATCAAAAGCACCCCCAGCCACCTTCCCTTTGAGACCTTCTCGAAACTCCAATTAGTTTTTAATGCTGCTTTTCTAAATTGGGGCAGACGCCCTTGTAGACTCCAACTGTTTTGGGCTCTAACTCCCACCAGCCCCAGTCTACCTGCCCAATAACCCCAGGACTATGAAACCTATAATCCATGTTTCCCGGCCAGCTTTAGTTGCCTTGAGCTTATCTAGTAGCAGCAGCAGCACAAGAGGCATTACTGGATTTCGCTCCCGTTTTATGAAACTTAAAAAGGAGAGTTCTGAACTTCATTAACGAAGAGACCCGGAATTTTAACTACCTACGAAACAACTTAACCCGGATTAAGTTGCACGTGTAATTTACACACCGGTTGCAGGTTTCACCCGGGAAAAAGCAAACCAGCCCCGATCAGTGTCGCGGACCCAAACGAGAGCACTCGCCCGAGCCGTCGATCAGCCTTCCTGCGCCACCGGGCCTACGACGCTCATTAAGCCTCACTTCCGGTGTCTTTCCGCTTCCCACAATGCAGCACGCTCACATTCTCACTACTCCTTAAAGGGGCCGCGCTCTTATTTTAAAAACGCTCATTCCCGGGCTTTGGCTTTCAGTAAACTCTTTTGAGGGTGCAAGCTTAGAGCTGTTTGGAGTCGGCCTTTCAAATGTCGGTGGAGTTTATTCCTAAATAAACTTGTTACATTTATAAAGCCCCGAGGATCTGAAACCCAAGACTTGGTGGAAGTGCATTTTCTTTCATGCAAGCCTCTATTAGGATCTATTATTTGTTATGGCATAAATTTCCATGGATCTTTGCCTCGTTAAAAAAAAAAACACTGACAAAGTGAAGCGTGAAATTCAAAGGTTTTTATTTCTTCATGGAGAAACTCTAGCTATGCAATCGCTAGACACAATGGTTTAAATGGCACGCAATCATAACAGGAATAATGCAAGCAATCATTAATATGTGACTTATAGGGGCAGCATGCCATTACTTTGCCAACGATTTAGAAGCGGGTCGTATTGCATTTTTCCGGGACTTTCTCGACCAGCCTTAGCCGACGGTCGTGGTGTCTCAGGGGCGGCAGTCTCCCATCCAAGTCTTAGCCACGGCCACGGCAACCTCCGCTTCCCTTCCAAGCCCAGATAAAAGTTAATCAAACACTACTAGCTAAACTTACTTGGTCGTAATTCCTAGTGAGTTTCAATGGGGCTTTGGTCCGATTTAGACGTTCATAGCATCACAGTAAAATGCCGTAAAATACCACGATCCCATGCGGATTATATTGCTATATAGATCAACACAGCCATCCCGCTGATGTTTGTTTTTTAAATTAAATTATACTGGAGCTTGAAGTCCCCCCACCTTGAAGATTATGGGATCAAGTCAGTATCGCTTTCGTACTTCACAAATCGACATCGCAATCCTTGGCTCTTAAATATCCCGCATTGCCTGCGAATGAGACTCAAGGTAAAGCAGTGTAGCCTCCACTTGTCCCCCGCCAACATTGGTTTAGAAAGGGAGCCAATCAGTAATTTTAACCTCTCAATACGAGGAGCAACAGCCAATCAGGGACCAAGTGCAAGATTTAAAAGAATCCGGTAGAGAAAGCTACGTTGCAAGTTTTAACCAAAGTGTTTGCCGAGGTAATGGATCGATAAGGGGATAATGGATGTGGAACTTTTTTCCTTCATGATAGTTTAATTTTCGTTTCTGTTTGTTCATACGTATTAGGTTTTAAAGGCTAGCTCTGTTGCAAAATTAAAACTGCAAACAATAGTTTAGGAAGAAGCGGGATGGTGGTCAGTATTTCAGTTCTATCTTTTGTCATAATTGCTGAAACTTGTTTTTGTTTTGTTTTTTTAAGTCGTATATGCTTTCAATGGACTTGTACCCCAGTGCTATTTTTCTGTTTGATAGCCTTCTAAAACTAATTCTGAAAGAAGCTCTATTAATGAACATAGAAATGCCGGGGCTACTAGTATTAAACTGAAATAATTGAAAAATAAAGGCTTCAGTTCTGTTTACAGGTAGCAGCAGAGAGCAAGATACGCTGACTGCTATAGTGCATGCACACCACAACAAATTCATATAGAATAATATCTTTGTTACAAAACTAACAAAAATGTTGGTTTAGAACTTCATGAGGCATGATATTCCAAAATAGGGGATGAGGGAGATTTTTTTTTTAATTAAAAGGCTAATTGTTTAAACTACAAAGAGTTTAATTCAACTTCAAAGTGTTTAATTCAAGAGGTTTTAGATCCTTGAATACTATGTTGGGAAGACTGAATTGAGACAAGTAGCATTTGGAGGTCAAATTAATGGCTATACTGTACTCTATTTAATCTGATCTATAAATTTTGAATCTTTCTCAACTATAACTCCTGCTTTGATGTAAATAAGTCTCCTTTTAATGAGCTAGAAACCCAGCTACTTCATCAAAATGTTTATGAAACCAAAATGGAAGTGCATTGTAACTGCCTACTTTTGAGATCTCGGCCTATCTTAACAATATTAATTGTTTTTAATCTTAATGTAAACTTGGTCTGATTTTTCTTAGTTTTGAGCCCAAAGTCATTTGCTGAGGCATAATTATCCACAGATGGCATTTTTACAAACCAATCAAATTATTTTCCAGCTCTTGAAATTTTATTTTATGTATCTTTTCTTTTATGTATACTGAGAGTATTTGCACCAAGACAAATTCCTTGTGTGTCCAACCACACTTGGCCAATGAAGAATTCTATTCTATCCTTTAAGACAATGCAATTTATTTACTTGTTGCCACTGTCAAATCAAGGAACTATATATATATTTGCAAGTAGTAGATGGCAGACTATATTTTCTAAATTGGGAAGAAACATTATAAAGTCACATTTTCAAATTGTTTAAGCAAAAAACGTGTTTCCTGTAAAAAGAACAGGTGAATCTTGGATGGAATTCAGTCTTCCCACCTGAGTCAGCTTAAGACAGTTTGAACTAGGATAACTGCCTTGGTTCTGAAAGATTCTGAGCTAGAAGCGGCTATCCTAGTTATGTAATATTTTAGGAGAAAAGTACACTTGCAATCTTGTATTGATATGAGAAGTTTAGATAATAAACTTAGATGTGTTATAATATTGTGGGTATCTGTTTTAGGGATCATTTGATGCCATAGGAATGGCAACACATATCTTCATAGACAAAGAGAATGGAGAAACTGGCACCACTATTGCTACTAAGGGCCAACTAAAACAGCTATTAGCACCTTGTGAGTTTGCATTTATATAATACAGCTAGTCTAAATGAGCAAAAAAAATCTATCTCTGAAAAGGCTCGCTCAACATATTAATTGATTTGGTTGCTGTCTAATCAGAATGATTTGTTATTTTAAGAGGATAGAAGGTGAAGAGTTACCTAAATATGATATCAATGTGGCTTTTGTGTAATGGAAAGCACTGAGAAAAGAGTCAGTCTTGAGACTTTAGGGATAACTTGATCATATAACTCTTCTGAAAATACTGTAGCAGGGTGGGAAGAAATAGAAATTAAAAGCGGCCATCTTTTTGCTTTGTACAGAGGACCGCTGTGTGGATTCTGCCGTGAATGGAAGAAGCTGAGCTAAACTGCAGGATATTGTCTTAGTTTATTAGACAAGCAATTTTTATTAAAATTATTATCTAATTGACATAAAAGCCAACGTGGTTGTACTAATTCCTCCATAGCCCTATTCTGAATTGTCCAACTGTATGCTTTTAGTGCATTTGGGGATGCTAAACCTACTTTATTAAACCTACTTTAGGATCTAAATTGCATTGTATAACAGGACTTTCCCCTTCTACAGCAAAAGTGTTTGTAGAAAGATCTCATCCTAAAACCCCTCTTGTTGGAAGGACAGCTAATGTGAATCTAACAGAATCTCAATCAGTCAGGAAGGCTCTGGGAAATTTGAACAGACCTCTAGCAACAACAAAGAGTCAATTCCCCAAAGGAAAAAAGTTCTTGTCAAAAAAGGTTAGTAAAGCTAATTTTCTGTTGGATGACACTGAGATGCTCAGACAGAAGAAACTAACTGTTTGTATTTAAGCCTTTGATCTCAGGAGGTGAAATGACTCCATAAAAAAGCAATTGAGTTCCAAATTTAATCTCTGGCATCTTCATGTAGAGTAATAAAACTTCTACCTGAAAGATTGGAGCTGCTGCTTATGGATCTTGACTTTAATGGGGCATTGTGGGCTAATAACCTAGGCTAGTAGCTTTGGAATAAAACAACCCCAGATATTCATGTGCTACAGTCTCTAATCTTTGTTTTGAGAGGGTGTTGTAACTATTTTTTATTATTCTTACTTAGGAAAATGAAAATACAAGCAGAACTGAAGACAACAGCATGGTTCCTGAAGAATTCCCAGAGAAGGAGAATCTTTTTTCTTATAATCCTCTAGGTAATGCCCAAAAAGGAAAGAGCTTCAGGGTTTTGGTTTTTGTTTTGGCAACAGAGGACTCATTTAATAATCAGGTTTCACAAATAAACATATGTACAATAAGATGTGACACCCCTGGCATATCATCTTGCATATAATGAAGTAGGCTTCTATTCTTGATCCAGGTTAATAAAGATCATGAAAAGTTAGAAGTTATATTGACTCAATTTAAGCAAAGTTTTAATCAAGTTTATTTCTGACCTATGCTTAAGATCAAACGGGAAGTTTCATTTCATTGTATTTTGTTCTACCATTTTCCATTAATAGATTTCGAGAGTTTTGATGTTCCTGAAGAGCACCGGCTGAGCCATATGTCTTTGACTGGAGTTCCTCTTATGACATTTGATAAAGTGCCTGATAGATTTACAAGTAGCATCCCTCTGCCTCCAAGACAACCTTTAGTTTCATGGGACTATGGTAAACACTATTCAGAAAAATCTAGCAGTTGTGATATTTTGTCTTTAACTACCTTGTTCAATTTGGGGTCTGCAACATGTACTGAAACCATGATTTCTAGTTTACTAGCTATTTATTAGTCATGTGGGCTAATAGTTTTGCAAACTGAAGTCCCAAGATACTTGGAAGGCACCTGGTTAGAAAGGGATAGAGGTAGTAGGGAAAAAAAAGCACAACAATGTTTAGGAATTATCCAGTAACAGCTATTTTAAGAATGACTAAGTAAACACACTTTTAGTCACTTTAAAAATACCTAAAGTTAGAGCTAACTGTCTGGAGATATTATAATCTTTTTTTTTTTTTTTTCAGATTGTCTGCAGTCTACTAAAGATTTTCTGGCCACTCTGGATGAAATAGTAATTGATCTTCCCCCTCCCTTGTAACAAGTAAACAAGCTATATTTTAAAGTTGTATTTTGAACAATGTTGTAACTCGTTCCATTGTTATAATAAAGAACTTGTAGTTGTAAATACGTGTAGTTGTAACTCTTGTCTTGTTTGAGCTGCTGGTAGATTTGGGAAAAAGAATTTCATATAATAAAATTATTTACCATTTTTTATCCCAAAGAAAAACAATTCTAATTTTAAGATGAACCCCTCCACAAAGGAGATGAACCCCCCACAAAGGAGAATATAAAAAGCAAACACCAAAGAAAAATGTTTTTCAGCACCAGTCTTTGCAGCTAATTGTCGATTCCCCCTTTTACTTTAATATCTTCTACCTTCAGCCAAACACAAGATGATTTCTCCTATCATATTTACAGGTAATTGGGAACAAATCACTTTTCCTATAGGGTAAGAATAATACATATAAGCTTTTTATCTAGCCTTCAGGTCTGATAAAATATGCAGATATATGCACTTGAACATATTTAATATTGGACACATGGTTAGCTGTAAGAACGGATGCAAAGTTTTGCATCAACCCAAACTTCTAGACTGGATTTGTACAACATATTAGGCTAAAAATGTGATTGACTACAGTAGTTTGTTGTTGAGGGTTGTATGCAAATTCCCCCTTCCATTCCGCCTTTCATGTCACAAATGCTTAGTGTGAGCCTAGGCAGCTGAATTCATTCAACGAAGCAGGAGTTAGCATGTTGTATGAACACAGTGCAAATGTAATTCACATATAATTCTGAATTTCACCATTTTAAACATCTGGGCAATGAAACCAGGTTTAATTGTCATGAGCTGAACACCACAACCTTCCTTTTATCGCCATTGCTATTCTGGCAAAGAAGTTGCATTACATAATTGAAATTCTAATTTCAACCTCTCAAATCTTAACAATCCTGTTCTGGGATATAGAAATGTCATGTGTAGTTGAGAATGTTTATATTACAAGGATCCTATTCTAAATGACAGGCCACCTAGTGACATTCATAGCTATGTGCCAGACAGGCACAGTTAATAAAATGATTTTTTTCATGGTGGAGAGGTGTTACTGTAGTTTGATTCATTTAAAAACTTAATCTTGCCCTGCTCTGGTTCCAATTGTGGCTGTAAGTCATGGTCTATCTGTAGGGAATTGTGTAACTGTTATGCTTTCAGGATTTACTTTTTTTTTTAGGAATTTGCTTTCACCGTGAATTCCTTTTCTCCATTGCTGCTAGTACTATGGAATCCTATTCACCATTGCTGTGATACTTTTATAATTTTTCTTGAATCCAAAGACATTATTGAGCTATCTTTGGTTTAAGTTTCCCTTACAATCAAGGTTATTTTCCTCCTTCAAGTCCGTTTTTGTTATTGGTTAATATGAAGGACAACAGCTTCTGTCACCTTGAAGGGGCAAATTGTGAAACAACACAAGCTAAGCATTTTCAGAAAGGGCCATTTGACAGAGTTTGTCTACCCTAAATTGGTAATTAAGGTAATTAAAGTCTTCCATTACAGCTACTCAATGCTGCTTTGAAAAAATCTATAGCTTAGTTTTAAATTATCCAAAAAAACAAAAAAACCCACCAGTATCTTATCCTTGGTTGGGCAGGCTTTAATTAACTTTAAGCTAGATGCTCTGTTTATTCATTTGGATTTCTAAGCCAATGTGGATATTTTAAATGCTGAGTGCAAATCTTCGTCTAGCCTTTCTGTCACAGTTCATCTTTGATCGTTACATTCCAATAATCAGAATCTTACCAAGATCTGCTTCACCTCTTAAATCATATTTATTTTCTTGTTCTCAGAGTTGAAGATCATCTTGTTTCCCAAAATCTGGGTGTTACTAATGAGCCAATGTTATTTCTGAAATAATATCCATTGCTAATAAGTTGTATTATTGGATTATCTGATGTTTAGGAGATTTATATATCTTGTTTGCAATATTAGTTTAATACTTTTCTAACCAAATTTGTCATGTTTGGTAAAACATGTTTATCTTGGTGAGGTGTAACCCATCCTATGTTTGTAATCCATCAGTCACTAAATTCATGTTATGGTCCCAGAAATCAAATCTTTTCCACATTATTTGCATAGCCCTTTATGACTTGTGGACTTCAACTCCCAGAATTCTTGAGCCAGTCCACAAGTCATAAAAGAACCATAGTTCCCCATCCCTGGCTTACAGTTTCCTTTTCCCTCTTTTTGGTTTTCTTCCATGACTCAAATACTAACTAACCAGGGGTGGGATTCAACCGGCGTTACTATCGGTTCAGTGATAAAGGTTTTGCTGCATGCACATGTAGAAAAACCTTAAGCTGTGCCACCCAGACAGCTGAAAAGAGCTGCATGCAGGTGTGCAGCGTTGGAAAAGCCTGTTTTTTCCTGTTTTTTCAACCTCAGCTGTGCCGTGCAAAGAGCCCGGGCGGGCAGGTGGGCCAAACAGCAGCAAACACAGAACCGATTCGGTGTCTGCTGCTCTTCAGAGCTACCGGTTCTATAGAACCGGACAGAACCGGTAGCATCCCACTCCTGCATCTAACCAGTTCATAATGGATGGTGTAACTAATTTGCAGTATTGCTTGTTCTGATATGATTTAGCAGAAAGTTTTAATTATTAAAGAACATGATAAGAATTGGAAATTCACATCCACAGCACATGTTCATGACTTGATGGGCTCATTCAGGAGATCTTTTCATTCTGTAAATCACCAATCTAGTGACTCTTTGTCCTTTTGCTGGACACAACTTTCTTTCTGTCTTTACTCCTTGTCTCATTTTCTGTAGTTCTGCATTCCTCTGAAGCTTTGAAATGTTTCTTTTGAGGTGGCTAAAAGATGTTTCTGAGATCTGGCATTATAGAATCATATTGTTTATGTGTCTATCTTCTGGTTGTTATTGTCCACAGGATTTGCTGCTTTGTTTTCATTATGGAAAGTTGCTTCCTCTGTTAAGCTATTCGTGTAGTACCACCTTTAATATTTAATACTATGATTAAAACTAGACCAACAGTCAAGAAGTCAACAATACCTCAATCAAGGAACTACCAACCGAGAAAAAGAAGCTAACAGTAAACAACAGCCTAATCAAGGAACTAACAAGAACACCCCCCCCCCCAAGACTGGCAGGGTAAGTTTGCTATAAGTTTCAAACTTGCTGCAAATACTGGGCAGGATCATAAACTTGTCACAATCATTATGAGTCATGATTGTACAGTCCTGTTCAATAATTACTATAAGAATTATTATTTGCTTTATTATTTATTATTAGTGTTGTGAATCAATAAAAAGTAACTAAGCCCAAATGCAAAGCGGGT